AGCCCTTTATAATATGTGTAGCATTTACTTTTCCCAGTTTGCTTTTTGTCTTATAATTTTGCTTCTAGTATTTTTTACCCTAGGGAAGTTTAAATTTTTATGTAGTCAACGTTATTAAATCCTTTATTTTTCAGCTGCATGATTTTATGTCATGCTTAGAAAAGCCTTCTTCACCTTAGGATTACAAAAACATTCATCTTTGTTTTGTTCCTAGAACATTTACAGTTTCATTTCTTACATTTACATTTTTGTTCCATCTTGAATTTTAGTGTAAAAGGATGAGGTAGAAATCCAGCTTTCTGTTTTTCCAGTGCTGGAACATATGAAGAAGTGAGTTTGTATTCCTAAGGGCCCTGTGACACAATTGGGGTAAGAGTTAGATATACGAAGGTTGGCAAGCTGTCCGACTGCACATGTCAGAATGCTAACTTTGATGTGTTCAAATGCCAGATGCTTCTGTGACTGTAAGACCTACAGTAAAGGATTAAGGCTGATGAAGATTACTGAGAAAGTGGAGGAATTGAGACTTGAAATTTGGCCTTGAATGACCTTTAAAATTTGAGTAGAGAAAAGAACAGGGAAGTATTTTGGGCCATAAGCAGAAGCGTGGGTATAGGAATCAGCAAGGTGGTCGGCAAGAGTGAACTAATGATTGCTGTTATTGATTAAGTCCTTTATATGGGCCAGGCTTTAGTCTGATTCTTTTATCTTTACATCTATTAATGTGAACATATGAGGTAGGTACTTTTTTTCTTTTTTACCATGTCACATAAAAGGAAAGTGCTACAGGGGCCAGTCAAATAATGTGTCTTCAGTTTCAGAGCTAATTATGTGGTAGGGCTGGGATTCGAACCAACAGAGGATGGTAGTGGAGCCTAAGAGAATCCCAGCCTGGCTGAAGTGAACGTGATTGAGCCTGTGATCCTGGGTTGGACAGTCACCTTAGTAAGAAGGGAAGATTTGTCTTTTGCTGAAGAAGATGGAATTAAAGAGATCTGGCTTCCTTTAGCTGATTTCTTCATCATTTTTATTTATAACCTCTGTCCTGGAAAATAATTGATTAATATATAGCAGAAATTATGCTCTTCTTCATAGTGGAATCAGTGAGAATATATTTCCACTGCTTTCTTTGTTGATTTACAATTTAATAAACATAAACGTTTTATCCTGAAAACAGAGATGCCCATCCGGATTGATTGTAATAAAAATGTAAGTAAAGTATTTTTAGCACTGCGCCTAGCCCATAGTGGATCTCCAGTATGTGTTTCTTCTTCCTCTCTCCAGATCTTGCCCTTCTCCTGAGTGTCTCCACGGCTTGGGCTTTAAAATAGACACTATTTATGAAATGTCCTTTCCATGAAGGTTTCAAGTACTTGATATACTTTAAACAATAGCGTCAATTTGTTCTTGATTTATTTTGATAAATAAAGATTTTGATAAATAATACTCCCTAATAGTAGCCAGTACTTTGAATTTTTATACAATCGAAGCCTTTCAAAAGTTTTATTACGTATGTTCAAAGTAATATCCTATTGCAGTGAAAAAAATTAAATAGACCAGTAAGTTTGTTTTAAAAATTGTGAGCTTGAATGGGAAAAGTGTGCATTTGTATGAGAGGGGCCGGACCTATTTTCTTGACTTTTTATGAAACATGTGTCCATTTTGGGCTTGTTGATCTTTGCTTATACGTCTAGGTGAAGTAATGGCATTAAGGGATCAAGACCTGCTCAGGATTCATTTTGAATTAGGACTCAGATTGTTATGATTCATGTTGTATATCATAGGACTAATTTAAGAAGTTAGGAAAAGAACAAGAAATTAAACTGAAAGAAAACAAAAAAAGGAATTAATTGTAGATAAAAATCAAATTTAGTGAGTTAGAAAACAGGAAAAAGAGAACTAATAACAAAAAAAAAATCCTGGGCCGGCCCCTTGGCCTAGTGGTTGAGTTTGGTGCACTCTGCTTTGGCAGCCTGGGTTCAGTTCCCAGATGTGGACCTACACCACTCATCAGCCATGCTGATGGCTGTGACCCACATACGAAATAGGGGAAGATCAGCCACAGATGTTAGCTCAGGGCAACTCTTCCTCAAGCAAAAAGAGGAAGATTGGCGACAGATGTTAGCTCAGGGCGAATCTTTCTCAGCAAAAAAAAAAAAAAAAAAAATCCAGAAGCTAACTTGATTAAGAAAAACAGAGAAGGCACTAATACACAATATGAGAAATAAGGAGTTACCCTACAGCTATATTAAAACACATGTGAAATGATATATGCACAAGGTTATTCCTAGTGACACTGCTGTTAATAGTAAAGGATTGGAAACAATCAAACTGTCCATCAAGAGGGATCTGGTTAAATAAATAATAGAACATCGATGTAGTGGAAAACTGCAGCTGTATAAAAAACTGTAGGGGCCGGCCTGGTGATGTAGTGGTTAAGTTCACGTGCTCCGCTCCGGCAGCCCGGAGTTTGCAGCTTCGGATCCTGGACATGAATTTACGCACCATTTATCAAGCCATGCTGTGGCAGGCGTCCCACAAATAAAGTAGAGGAAGATGGGCACCGATGTTAGCCCAGGGCCCATCTTCCTCAGCAAAAAGAGGAGGACTGGTGACAGATGTTAGCTCAGGGCTAATCTTCCTCACACACACACAAAAATTGTGCAGCTGTAAACAATAATATATAAGGAGGCCCTTTATGTATATGTTCTTGTAGAAAAATCTCCAAGATACTTAAGTAAAAAAAAAGCAAGTACTGTTTTAATACTGTGTATACTATGCTACCTAATTGTGTAGAAAAGAAATAAAGAATATTTATATTGATCTGAATATTCATTAAAAAAAATCTCTGACAGGTAAACAGAAAACTAAAAGGAGTGGTTACTTGGGAGGGATGTGAACTGGGCAGATAGGGTATGGTGAGGGTATGCTTTTCACTGTCATTTTATGCTTTTTGATTGAGTTTATTACCTATTTAAACAATTAAATAAAATATGTACTTTAAAAGTGTTTAACTGATTAAAAGTTTTTGAGGAGTCATTTTAGGAAACGAAAAAATCAATTGGTTTTATTTCATTCAGCAATACCTGATGATTATGTACAATAGGTGAGGCATAGTTGGGAATAAAGAGATCATACATAGTTATCGTTTTCTTGTTGCTGAAAATATAGTGGAGCAGACAGGCAGATACAAGTGTAATACAACTAAATACAACGAAAATACAGAAACAATACAATGGATGAACAGGGAAGGGAATGTGGGAAAATCTTGCAAAGGAAGTATGACTTGAACTGGGCGTTGAGGAACCTGTAGGACTTTTACAGCTGCTGATGGGGAAGATGGTGGGCAAATAGGGATAAAGGATGGAGGGAGGTATGCATGCAAAGTCCGGTAGGCTGGAGAGTGCATGGCTTAATTTGGGAATGAGGCAGTGTAGCCATTTCTGGTGTAGCTGGAGTGTGGGTTGTGTTTGTATGTGCAGGGACTGTCTTGCCCTGGGATGTAAGTCTGTATTCAGTCTTTTTTTATAATGGAAGATTGCAAATATATACAAAAGTAGACAGGATAGAATAATGCAGCACATGAGCTTCAACTGTCACCAACTCCTGGCTAATCTTGTTCCATATATATCCTACCCACTGCACCCCCCAACTCCTGCTGTATTTTGAAACAGATCCCAGATAATATCATTTCTTCAGTATGTAGCTGTAAAAAGTATGGACTTTTTTTTTTTTAAACCAATTGGAGTACAGATTCCCAGTAGATTCATAAATGTCAAAATTGTTTATTTTTTTAGCAGTTTTTATTTATTTGTTTAAATCAAGATCCAAATAATGTCCACAAATTGCAATTGATTGTTTTTAAGTCTCTTATTTTTCTCCTGTCTTTTTTTCTCTCTTGTAGTCTATTTGTTGAAGGAATCAAGTTGTTTGTCACAAAGCATTTCCCACTGTCAAGATTTTGCAGATTATACCCCCATGGTCTAGTTTTATGTGTTCCTGTGTTGTTTGTATTTCCTGTAAATTGGTAGTTGGATCTAAGGGTTTGACCAGGTTCAGGTTAGTTTTTGTTTGTTTTGGTTTGGCTTGGTTTTTTTCTTTTTCTTTTACTTTATCAGTAGTATTGTGGGTTCCCATCAGGGACACATAATATCTGGTTATTTTCCTTTTTCTGATTTTAAGCAGCCATTGCTCATCAATGTCTCCATTTCAGTCATTCTTTAAAGAGTAAAAAAGATAAACCTAGTTACCATGACATCTCTATTCTTTTGCTTCTCAGACCTCATAAATATCCTGTGGAGTAAAAAAAATTAAATGTACATATTTAATAATACTGTATTACATATTTGAAAGTTGCTAAGAGAGTAGATCTTAAAAGTTCTCATCACAAGAAAAAAAGATTTTCTAACTACGTTAACTAGACGTATTGTGGTGATCCTTTCACAGTATATACAAATATCGAATCATTATGTTGTATACCTGAAACTAATATAATATTATATGTCAATTATACCTCAACAAAAAAATAATAAAAATAAATGTACATATAAGAATAATTGGTTTCGGGCCGGCCCCGTGGCTTAGCGGTTAAGTGCCCGAGCTCCGCTACTGGTGGCCCGGGTTTGGATCCTGGGCATGCACCAACGCACCACTTCTCGGGCCATGCTGAGGCCGTGTCCCACATACAGCAACTAGAAAGATGTGCAACTATGACATACAACTATCTGCTGGGGCTTTGGGGAAAAAAAAGGAGGAGGATTGGCCATGGATGTTAGCTCAGGGCTGGTCTTCCTCAGCAAAAAGAGGAGGATTGGCATGGATGTTAGCTCAGGGGTGATCTTCCTCACCAAAAAAAAAAAAAAAAAAAAAATTGGTTTCAAATGACCTTTCAAAACCAGTATCAAATAGCTTCAAGATGTTTTCTTGGGTTAAAAAAACAAACTTATCTTGTTTTAATGGATTTTCACAGCCTTAATTATTTGTGTTTTATGCTTCATTAGATTGTTCTTCAGATGCGTTAAAAGTAAGACAGAGGGGAAGCAATGGTGTGGAAGTATCCCGTGGCAGGTAGGAATTATTCATCTGTTTTTAAAACTGCTCTGTTAAGACAGTTTAATCTTCAGCATCATCTGAAAAGACCTGGAGGTCCAGTATAAACTGGTTGGTCTTCGTCCTACTGTCTTTGAAAGGCAGTCTGTTCTTTAAGTAAGGTAGACCGTGTTGAGACTTTTAATGCAAAGGACTATATGGTTATGTTCAGGATTTAGTTATTTGCCTCCTGTTACACTTAAATAGTTTTTGAGGTCTTAAATGTGTTCAGTATTGTCTTATTTAGGGAAAAATTTAGATTTACTTAACTAACTTCAGCATCTTTTTATGGATGATTTCTGTTTGATATTCATATAAGCTGAGTATAATTCATAAGCTCCTAGAAGGTGAGAACTAGGAGGGACTCTACAGATATCCAGTACCTGAGGAGCTAGACCTAGTGGGGTGACAAGATTTGTTTGGGTAGAGGGATGGCTTGAACTTATGATTCTAGATTCCCGTAGTGCCAAAATCAAAGCAAGCATAGGACACTGTTTAGGTTTAGGGAAAAGGTCATGTTGAGAGAATAGTTTTTCATGAGAAGTATACATTGTGGCTATTGCTATTGTTAAGGCATTTTGATTTGGTCACTGCTTTTCCTTGAGGCCTGGAAAAGCAGTGATGGTGGACAGAGAAGGAACCAAGCATTGACAGTACTGTTAAGAAACTAATACTTTGTGAGTTTGGCACATAGTCTTTTCTAGACGCAGATATGGTGCCAGGAATGTTCAGAAATATTTGACTGCTTTCACCGTGTTTGCATTTCCTCTGAAAAAGGCATTCTAGATATGAAAGTTGTGTTAATATTTTATGTTATTATTTTTTTGTCTTTTTAGGATCCTAATTCCAAAGAACATTCTGTGACCAATAAGTCTCAGCATGCATCTAAGCCATTTCATTATCCTTCCAGCCAGCAGAGAAACCCATTCAAGGTACTTGACAAGAATCAAGAACCATCTCTCTGGAAACAGTTCGTCAAAGGTGAAGGTGAGGAAAAGATGGCTGATAAGAAGCAAGGGAAAAAGAAAGATCTGCTCTTGGATCAGAAGAAAGAACCGAAGCCTGAATCTGACTGCTGGATGGAGAAAGATCTTGCATCTGGCCCGGTGGTAAAGGAAAAACAAGCTACAGTTCAGGAGAAGCAGCAAGGGGAGAAAACAGAGTTTCAGGGTGAAGCAAAAGAGATTGAAGAGACACACAAAAGAAACCTTTGTGAGATGAAATCCACACAGTGCCAAGATAATGAGCTTAGAAAACTATCTGTGTCTCCTCACGAGAAATCAGATAGTGAGAGTCATTATGTCCAAAATGAATCAGAACCTCTGAGAGAACAGGAAACCAAGCCTGTGCCTCAAATTGTTCATAGCCAAAACCCAATAAGCAAGCCCCAGGAAGGGGAACAGCTCAGCAAGCAGCACCCCAAGAGCTGGAAGGCTAGAGGAACAAAGGCAAAGGACTGCCCAAGCATGCAGGCCATCCAGAAGGGGCCATTCCAGGGGCATTTCCAGGTGCAGGTGGAGACTCGTGACAGGCCTGCTCCAAGAGGACCAGCTGCACAGTCTGCCCCACAGGCCGCAGGGCGTTCCCTGGGAGAGAGGCGAGGAGCTGACATAAGCAGTGGTGATAGTGAGGAAGATGATGTTGTTTTTGTTTCCTCTGAGCCAGGGAGCCCCTTACTTTTTGACTTGACTCCAGACTCGCAGAAGAAGGAGGACTTTAAATTCTCTGGTCAAAGTGTGCGAAGAAAAGTATCTCCAGCCTTAGGTGTTTCCAAGAAGGTAGAACCTTCAGACCCAGCAGCCCAACGTGTGTACCTCACAACACAACTGAAGCAGAAGAAGGTAACTGCTGACTTGTGTTTTGTTTTTAAGGTCAGAGCGTTGCTTGCTATGCGCAGGTGTGGGACTCCACAAAGGAATTAGATATGTTAATGTGGGAAAGGTTTTACAGGTGGATGTTTAGTTTCTGCCTTTTCCTGTGTTTATATTTTCACAATTGGTAAGTCAGCCGGGTTTCATAAAAAGAAAGTTCTGGTTTTCATATATGTAGTGAAATGACCATAATTTCAGAGTTTTAGCATTTTAGCCTGTTTTAATCTGAAACTGTCTTTCTAACAACTTGAAAGGAGAGATCCATTTTGTCGGATCTGCTTTTCAGAGCACGCTGGCGTCGGTGAACATCCAGGTTCTTCCAGACAAGGGTCAGAAGTTGTACAAGCAAATTCAGGAGCTGGAGGAAGCCCTCGGTGCCCTCGCCCTCTCCCCTGAGCAAGGTAAAATGGGTTATACCCCAGAACTCGGGGTGTGCGTGAACTTTACCAGAGACATTTGAGAAGCCATTTTAATAAAGAATATGTTGATTCATTCACCTTTCCATTTGAGTATCCTCTTTTGAGTTTTCTTTTTCATTTTATAGTGATTTATAAAAACTTCCTCCTATTTCCTGTGGACTCAACTCTCTTTCCCATTGTTTCGGAAACTGTTTATTTTTATTTATTTATTTAATTTATTTATTTTTCTGAGGAGATCAGCCCTGTGCTAACATCTGCCAATCCTTGTCTTTTATTTATTTATTTATTTATTTATTTATTTTGCTGAGGAAGACTGGCCCTGGGCTAACATCCGTGCCCATCTTCCTCCACTTTATATGGGACGCCGTCACAGCATGGCTTGCCAAGCAGTGCGTCGGTGCGCACCCGGGATCCGAACCGGCGAACCCCGGGCTGCCGCAGCGGAGCGCACGCACCCACCTGCTTGCACCATCAGGCAGGCCCCTCGGAAACTGTTTAAATGCTGTGCTCTCTAGGAAGCCTTCCCCAGCTCGTTGGAATGGTGCTGATCCCACCCTCTCTTGACCTCACCTCACACATGTAATTCCTTCACTTTTCTGAACTTTAATCTTTTCTTTCCTTGTTTTTTGAGCAGGCGCTAATGAGAAGAGTAACACTCAAGTTCCACAACAGAGTGACGTCACCCAGACTGCCACTGGCCCTCCCCACTTGGTGCCTCCCAAGCCCCTGCAGGGTCAGGAGCTCCAGCCTCTGGGTTCTCTAGGAGTAAAGGCTGCCTGCCAGGTAGCTGCTGGGGGATCCAGCCAGTGCCATGGAGGTGAGATCCAAGGGCCTGGCCCTCGTGTGCACAGCTACACCTATGAGTTAAATGCTGCCCAGTAGGTGTCTTGGCGACCATGTGAAGGGAGAAGCCATTCCTGAGTTGTAAGTTGCCCATGTAATGAAGATCATGATGCTCAGCTGAGCACTGCACAGTGTTATTTAGATTTCTGAGGGCAGAGACTGTGTCTGCCTTGTTCACCGACCTCACTCAGTCAGCCCAGTGGCCGGCACGTGGAAGTCAGCAGTAAATGTTTGTGAATGAAAACTCAAACTCACATTGCAGAATGAAGATCCCACGTAGAGCCTCAGATATGTAACAGGATCTGTTGGTTTGCTCTGATATGTAATATGAACCTGGACAGGAGCTCAGGCTGGCCAGCAGTGACTAGAAAAGCTAAAGCCAGTTTTCTCAAATTGAGAACTGCTAGAGATGTAGAAAGGGAAAAAGAAGAAGGACAGGGAGGAAGGGAAGGTAGGGAGGAAGGGAAGAGCAGTAGTTAATAAGGAAGGTGAGAAATGGATGCTGTGCAGGGTAAAGCTAAGGACGCTCTAAAAGGGAACAGAGAAATCGTGCTTGTCAAAGTGCGTCACAGTCATGCTGCTCGGGACCGCTTTGAGAATGTTGCTCTGTTGCAGCATCGTTCAGTAATCATAACGGTGACTGAGTCACCTAGAGAAAAATTACATTATGTTAGATTATTAAGGTAAGAAAGTATGTAATATGTTTTGGAAAGAATTCCATTAAAATAGTTTTCATTTAAAAACATTTTAACATTTAAATGGTTAATTTTTATTTGTCTAGAAACCTTGTATTTGGGATACCTCGTCCCTAAAATTGCAACTAGCTGACACGCCTGTAGTTTTAAACTAACCTCAGTAGCAGTTCTCTGTGTAGAGTGAGGAGGTTAACAGTACTGAAGTATTTCCCAATGCAGGGCAGTGGGCTCGTGACATGCACTTGAGGGGCCCTCTCTCCCTCTCTGCCTAAACTTCACCTAGCTTGGCCTTTACTATTGCTGACTTTTCTTCTTTGCATCCAGCCCCAGAGATCTTGGCTTCCTAAAATACTGGCATTACCTTTTTCTCTGCCTCCTCTTCAGAGCTGGAAAAAAAAAATAACAAAGATATTATGGGTTATCTTATTTTTTCATTATACTTTCTATTATTTTGTCCTTTATTATTATAATTATTTATGTGATTAAAAAAACCCAAATAAACAAAGAATGGGGATAGAGGAGACTGTAAGGCTAGGAGAAGCTGGAGACAAGAACTTTCAGTCCATACAGATCCATCATCTGGCAGATCATGAATTGCCTTTTTGCAGCTATATCCAGGACATAAAACTTGTGATACCTTTGGGTAACACCTATGTGTATGCAGGCCCTACACACCAAGATTGCCTTCACACCGGGTGGAAAATCACAAAGGAAGCCATCGATGCACTGCATCGATCACTTGAGTCGTGTCCCAGTGAGACAGCTGTGGCAGAGGATCCGGCTGGATTGAAGGTGAGCCAGGGAGGACTCAGGGTACAGAGTGCCCTGTAACTGTCCCAGTGCCCAGGAAGAGAGAGACCACTGTGATACTGCCTGGCAGAGTGCCATTCTGATGTGTCTTTTCTACAGATAATACTTTTTTGGCTTCTCTTGCAGTATTTTTCTTCTTTTCTGTTTAGCAGTGCGAAAAAAAACCACTACTTTTTGTTCTTGAAGTCATAAAGTTATGTATGTCTGCAGCATTAAAGGATCCATTTACTGAGCTTTGATAGGTGTCATAAGGATGCAAAGGAATTGCTGCTCATAATGAACTAGTTGGGGTGAAACGGCATATACAACATATATAAAACAATTGGAAAGTGACTCTAAGACAAAGATGAAATGTGCATTGTAATGTACTATAGACTGTGTGCAAACTACAAAAGGGATTCACAATAAAAGAAAAGTCACTCTGGGTCAATAATTATTTGTTGCCTGCCTACTTTGTGGTTTAAAGAAGCTGCAAGCCTAAAGATAGCAGAGAGGATAGAAACCAAACACTCCAGCTCGAGGGAGTGGTGGTGAGAGGGAAGATACACAGATTGGTATTAGTAAGTGATGATCGGGTGACATCAGTACCTGAGCTGGGAGCAGCAGCTGATGTTACTGATCAGGAGGACTCCCTGGCTGTGGAGCCTTGCATTGGCAAAGAACTGAGACTGGACTAGCTCAAGAGATATTATGGAATGACTGTAGAATTTGAGCAGAGGTGTTTTATGACGATTATTTTCGTCACAGAGTACAAGATAAACTGAAGTAAGAAAAGACTAAAAGTGGGACACCAGTTAAAGGGCTATTGAAATTTATGACTAGCGGTGCAGACTGGGACGTCGGCCATAGAGAGGAGAGTCAGATTTCAGAGATGATGAGGAAAAGCCAATGGAATTGCTGGTGAAAGTCGGGGGACCAGTCAGAGGTCTTGGTTGCAAGCAGTAGAAATTGACTTTGGCTGACTAAGCAGACAAACCAGGACTCTTGCTTGAGAGTGAGAGAGAGGGCTTTTGATAGATAGACTGGACAGTAGGCATAAATCACAACTGTCCTGGGCAGACCAGGGCGTATGGTTGCCCAAGGTGACAGAGTGGAGTCAGGGACTTGAAGGTGCAATGAGCAGCTTATATGACAACTAGAATATTGGGAGGATCACTTGCAGAAAATAAGAGAGTAGAGTGCGGAGTCCATGTAGCCAGGATCCAGCAAAGCCTCTCATGAGGAATTTATATTAAACTTTTGGTTATTACCTTTGTCAGATCCCTTTGCTCCCACACCAGAAGCAGGCATTAGCCTGGTTACTATGGCGGGAAAGTCAGAAGCCGCAAGGAGGAATACTGGGTAAGTCTGGTATTATGATAAGAGCTAACAAATGTGCTGTTGTATTGTTTCATTCCCTCCTCTCAGCAACCCCATGGGGTGGGTTCTATTTTTTTTTTTTTTTTTTTAGGAATATCCGCCCTGAGCTAACATCCATTCCCAATCCTCCTCCCTTTTTTTTTTTTCCCTTTTTCTCCCCAAAGCCCCAGTAGATAGTTGTATGCCGTAGTTGCACATCCTTCTAGTTGCAGTATGTGGGACACCACCTCAGCATGGCCGGACAAGTGGTGCATCAGTGCGCGCCCGGGATCTGAACCCGGGCCGCCAGTAGCGGAGCTCTGGCACTTAACCGCTAAGCCACGGGGCCGGCCCCCTTTTATGAATGAGGAAACCGAGATGTAGAAAGGTTACAGTATGCTCAAGAGTGCACGACTGTAGGATCGGTCAGGTCTTGGTTGCAAGTAGTAGAGGCTGTCTCTGGCTGATGAAGCAGAGGGAAAATTTATTCTCTGGCGGCACCAGAGTGTCGGGGAGATGTGGAGGGCCAGGCTGGAGGCCAGACTTCCCGGAGCACAGCCAAAGCCAAGTAGTAAACTGAGTGTCCTGTGGAAACTGTCATGGCTGCTTTGCTGCATCAAGTGCTAGAGGAAGGCATTGACTCCCCAAAGCCAGACACCTCTGTCTCCACCCCTTCCTGCAGAAAGGATTTCACAGGGAGCCTCTTTTCTAAAGTCGCTCACATCTGAACCAAAGTCTTATGTGAGTACATGTGTTCTGTAGAGCCAGGTCATGCTGCCAGTGCCTTCGCTGCATGGGAGCCTAGAAAGCAAGTTTTCCAGGCTCTGCTTTGGGGACTTGTCAAACTAAAATTCTCCAAGGTGCTCAACTTCTAAAAACATGACAAATGTCCACTATGGCTAGTAAGTGGCCATGTTGGAGGTCCCAAGACCACCTCCAGGTTTGATGATTTGCTAGGAGGATGCACAGCATATAGTCATACTTGTGGCTATAATTTACTATACAATAATTAATAATAAAGTTATTTTGATTTGATGCAAATCAAAGTCAGCAAAGGGAAAAGGCTCATGAGGCAAAGTCCAGGGGAGACCAGGGGCAAGCTTCCAGAGGCCTTTTCCAGCGGAGTCACACAGGGCATACTTAATTCTCCTAGCAGTGAGCTGTGACAACACGTGAAATGTGCCAACATTGTGCCCAAGGTTTTTTTGGAGGGCTGGTCACATTGGCAGCTTCAGCCTGGTGGGTACTGAAATTCCATACTCCCAGAAGGAAAGCAGATGTTCAGCATAAACCATATTGTTTGTACAAACAGTTCAGGCACAATGAGCCACTCTTATCAGTTCTGGGAATGGTGAGAATCCTCCTTAAATCTGAGTTCCCAGACGCCAGCCTTGTAAGCAGGCCTTTCCTAGGGTAGTAGTCAGGACTGCTGTGTTAGCTCTCTTTCTGCACAGTGGCAGAGCCAGAATTTGAACCAGAGCCCATGCTGTGACGTTTTGCTTCTGCTTATGTCAGAATGATTATTTAAACTGCTAAAATGAGGATAGTAATGTTTTATAGGGTATAAAGAAGAAATTAGATAAGTTTCATGACTGGCCCAATAACAATACCCAAGAATGTTAGTTTGTGCCCTTCTTTGATGAATAAGGGAAAGAAGACTGTTTTGAGTTGACTCTAACTCCAGAAATGTGATAGCACCAGTAAGTAGGTAGTAGGATGTGTCCACTGGATCTTTTTGCTTTTGGAGGATGACAAATAAAAAGACTAGGCAACATCATCAAACTGAGATAGACGTCAATGAATGTGTTAGATAAGTAACCATATAACACAGAGACTGGAATAAGATCTAAGTGACAAGTTTTAAGTTTTACAAAAGTCACAGTAATTGTCTTTGATCCAGATCTCAAAATAGC